TAAGTTGTTTCTTTTGGAAGCAGGTTAAAAATTGGAAAAGGATATTATGGAAAGGGATTATTTCAAAGACTATTAGTTTTAAAGCAAGATGTGTAATCTTTTTACTATAAAATCTGTGACTCCAGGCTGAAAAAACTAAGGACTGTATATTTAAGTCATCATAATTCTTTTTCAAAAAGCCTATATTTGTTTGATCAATGTTCATTGTTTGGCTAATACATACGACAAATATTTTAAGTGTTTGTAATGTGGCAGTCAAACTTTGTATCAAATTTCCAAAATTAATGAAGTTTGATTTACTGTGCATATAGTTTTGCTGCTTTTGATTGGTGTGACAAAGTTTGTATCTTAAAAACAATGTTTTCCTAAGTTAGAAATTTTAAAAAGTAAATTTGTTATAGTTTGTAAAAAAATTTAAATTTTAATATGCATATTGCATGTAATACAGTTCATTTTTATATAGTCAGAAAAAATGGATCTTAAAAAATTTCTTCCATGATTTTATTTCTACACTGGATATATTCGTTTAGGGAAGTGTATGGTCAGCACAAATTTACTCAACATCCAAGTGACCACAAAGTTATTTGTTATCTTTAACCAAAATGTACATTGTACAATGCCAGTGCTAGAGCGTTACAAGAGATTCTGAATGTTTCTTTAATCATCACAGAAAGCTTACCTCATTTCAGTGTAGTTTCAGTTTTGTGTGTATCTTACAGTATTCATATTATGCCAGTATTTGTCATCCTGATATATTACCTATGATAGCTTTGTCACTTGGAATATTTGACTAATACTTTAAGCCCTTTGAGTAATTTGGAGTTAAATGGGTTATGTTTAGCATATTTTGTTTTTGTTGAAAACATACTGTTGGACATGCCATTATAAAGGTTAGTATTGGCTTATAAATACCAGACATTGCCATAGTACTTTCTCCTCAGATTACCCAATTATTAAATTAAAACAGTATTTGTTATTTCTGGATCAATATAAGGCAGTGACTTTTGAATTATAACCATTTGAGCTATGTTAGTTAAACTGATGTATTTTCTTAATGATACCCATTCAATATAAGTTGGTCCTTTGGGATGGACATATAGAAGATTTTACAGTATGTAGGGCAGAAGGTAGGTGAATGTGCTCACTTTGGCTTGGAACTTCTTAAGTTTGGACCAATTTTTTTAAAAAGTCAAAATGTAAGTGATTGGTAAAAGGCATTTCTGTTAGTATTGGAACTTTTGGAGAGCCTAAATGCTATGAGAGTGCATTTTTTTCTTAAACATTTCCAATATGTAAGTACCAAAGCATCGAGTCTCATTTACCTTTAAGGGAGACTCTTTAAAATCAAATTTATAACTAATTCACTCTATAAGATATATAATAGCTAAAGTCCTAGAGTAATTTATATTGAAAACCGCTAGGCTTTAAAATTTCTGGACACAATATAAAATGTTGGCTTCATTATTTTAAAGTATTTAGAATTAATCACCTTAACTTTACCATACACTAGATCTATGGCCTCTACATGAATCACTTCTCCTCTTTGGGCAACCTACCTCACAGGGCTGTTGTGAGGAATAAAATGAAATGGAGTGTGTGAAGTCGCTTCAACAGCAGTAAAATGCCATGTAAATGTGAGGTGGTGTTTTCAGTTAATAACGGACTTACATGTTTGGGTGCTTCTAGTTGCCATTTGCTTTAGTTTTTAAAACTAAAAGATTGTGCTTAAAGTGGTATCACCAGGACTTCAAATGTGATTAAAAAAACACACACACACACAAAAAAACCCTTATTAAAATGACCTTTAACATTCCTTAGTTTGTGCATGATGTGACTTTTTTGTATCTTCTCATCAGGACTGTCACTCATGATCTCAACTTTCTAGAACTGTAAAATTTCTCCCACAGCATTAGTGTGTCACTGTAGAATAGTAATATAAAGCATAATAAATGACTTAAGCTATGTCTCCATCCAGGCATTTGCGCTTTTAATTTATGACTCCTCAGTGCCATGTGCAAAGACTGAATTTGGCTTAAGTAATTCTTTCCAAACAACCAAACGTTTAAAATTTGTTGTCATTGGCTAAAAGATATACACTGTATGTGCCCATTTAACATTTGACTTTTGTTGCATTGTCATTTTTTAAAAATATGGAATATTTTCAAAACCTTGTGAACCTGGGTATCATTTAGTATCTCTCCTAGCAAATTTGTTTTGCTTTAAATTGGATTTATTAAATGGTTTACAGTTTATAGATTATTTGGTATTGTTATCTACTGGACACAATTTTACTATGCAGTTCAGATAATAAAAATTCTTAATTACTCAGGTTAAAACTTTGAGTTATGGATGAAAAATATGAACTATTTATAATACACTCAGTGCTGCAAACTAGTGTTTTAATATGTGTATTGCCTCATTTTTCTTGGAAACAAGACAAAGCCTTTTAAATGGTTTTTAACTTTAAAATAGTGTACTCAAAGTGGAGTAACTTGTGTTGAAGTGATTATATGCTCTATGTAGAATGACCGAGTTAAATTCTTACAAAAACACCTGGAATATCTCATCTGAAAAATAAACTTCTTTTTCTGCTTTATTTTGCTTCAGTGCTTGCATTTTATCAGTTCTCATTAACAATGTACAATGTGTTTTGGAGGATAACAAGATTAAAAAGTCATAGTCACTTTTTCCCAAAAGGAACGCTAGTTTAGAGCAATACCATTCAACAGAATTCCACACAATGATGGAAAGTTGTATATGACACTTTGGAGCTTGTTTCAACCTGCATTACATTTTGTTAGATCACCTAAGAGTAAGTAGAACCTAAGTCCTCTTAAAATTTGTATTCTAACTTGAAATCAGTTTAGGGGAAAAAAGCAAAACAATCGGTGACTAGATGAAGCTAGAACTTCGTTTCACCAAGAGAAGAATGAAGGGAAACTAGTGTTAAGTGTTAAGGCTAGGAGTATGAGGAAGGTTGAGAAACCAGTAGCCTCTTACAGATGATTATTTTTCCCATTAATTTTGATGACAATTTTCAAACATACTGGAGTAGAGGCTATTACTAATGAATACTTTTATGCTGATTGCCTAGATTTATTCGTTAACATTTTGCCATATTTGTTATTCTTTAAGGTGTCTAAAAATAGCACATAGAAGTACTGCAGTGCATCAGTGATGATTTTCTCTTTTAAGAACAGCCACACTTCCTTCACATTCTTAGTCAACAGCTGTCCTAATCCTAATAACATCTAATGGCTCAAGGCGTATTAAAATTCCAGTTGTCTCAAAAATGACTTTTTAGGGTTCCTTTCTTCAAATCAGAATCCAGACAAGGTCCGCATCTGCATTTGGTTGTCTCTCAAGTCTGATTTGATAGTAGTTCCCTACGCCGTTTTTAAATGCCATTGATAAAATGGCATTTGTCTTGTTGGATGTCCCACATTCTGAATTTAGCTGATCAGTTCTCTATACCTGACATTAAATAATAGAGTTTTTATTAAATGAAGATTGAAGTTTAGGCGAGAATCCTTCACAGGTGATGCCGTGTTTTCTGTTGCATCACGTCAGTAGTACATAGTGTCTGGCTGTCCAGGACTGGATGAGACTGATCAGTGGGTTCAGGTGGAGCCAGCTCAATCCAGTGTTACAAAGTTCCCCATCAACATTTCACCTTAATTTTAGCATCTGTTGATGAATGTTGTCCTTTGTATTATTCCACAGGAGTAACGTCATTGATCTATCATTCATTCTTTATTACATGGAATTCTCATTACCATTTGTTACACCGAAATACAATTCATACAAGAAAGGCAGGATAAATACTTTGTTCCTTTATCAGGTTTCAAGATAGTGAGTTGTGCTGCCCTGGAAACGTTCATTCATGACTAATGTCATCATGAAGTCAAAATTTTTTATATGTTTTATATGTTTCAATCAATAGCAGTTCCTTACTTGGATGCTCAAATTTTCCCATTTTAGGTCCTTAAAGTTAGCACCTGCGTCCATTTAGTACCGATGATCCCGTTAATGCGTGAAAACGTCCTTCTTCTGGGTGTTAACCTACTTTTTTGATTAACCTACCAACTACTAGCTCTAAGAATACAGAAGTAGTTATAATTAATAGGAGGACTTCTACAGAGTAAGTCCTCTTATTCTGTATGCACACACATTTTCTGGAAGGAAAAACAAACTGGTATGAATCATAACCCTGGGAAATAAGAAAAAGACAGCATTTTATACTTTTCCAAAGATCAAAGTTTAGAAGACAAATATGGGAGGGGGAAACTTTGTTTTTACATAAACTGATCAGAGTCATTTTTGTAGAAATAAAGTTACGACGATTTGTTTAATGCTTTATATCGAAAATTCATGTCAAAACTTACTGATATCTGATCCTTTGGATTACACGGTTAAGAGTTAACATTGTACATAGCCATTTCCCGACCTAAACCTGACATGGGTCCGCCGGAGTGACAGTAAACGCAGCTCTGTTCCCCACTCTGTACCCATTCTCCCCTGCTGGTACCCACACCGAATTCAGGGAGTTATTCTCAATCCCTTCTGCGCAACGCACACACTGAAAAAGTATTCGTTATCTGAAAATCACATTTAACTGGCATCCTATGCTTTATCTGGCAAATGCAGGTCTCAGTCTGTGCCTCTTCAATTTCTGGTCACTTGCTAAAATCAGGTCGCCTCAGTGCCCTGCTATCGTTAGCAAGAGAGAGAAGGTCTTTTACTAAATGGTTAGATCTCAAAAGCTGGGAAATCGCCAGGGTTCAGCAAACTTCCGGGAGGCACGGAGAGGGGTCGAGGGAGGGGGAGGGGGAGGAAGTGGCTGGAGCTGTGGACAAGCTAAGGCCAGGGTCCAACGGTGGGAACTTCTCTGATACAACTGTGGGACCAGTTGTCGCGACTCTGCACTTGACGACCCCTTTTGCAGCGGTTGCTGTGAGTGCCGTAAAGCAGAGTTGCCGCAGCTGTTGGGAGAGGTAGGGTTTGGGAAGCTCAGCTCGGTCGCCGGGATGGGCGGGTACCTATAGGCAGGTATACCCCTGTTGCTTGGGTGCCCTCACTGGGCATCCCCGCAGCATTCTGGGCACCTCCTCACCCCCGGCGGTCGAGGCTGGCCACCGGGTGAGTGCGATCGGGGCAGAGGGCTGCAGCAGGTGAAATCCTCATCCTGGGACATGTTCAGTTTTGGAGGGCGATCGAGACCCTTGTCGAACCGGGTGGGGGTAGTGGCGTGTGAGCGGGGTCGTGAGAACCACCTCTGGTTTTGCGCGAGCATCTGGGAGGCAGGTGGGGAACAGCACTGCAGGTTGTGAGACCAGTGTGTGCAAAGGCACAGGAGCGGGAACGGAGCTGCCACGTTTGGCAGCACTGCTTTTTAGGATATGGCCGAGGGATGGGTGCGACAAGGGGAAAGCTAAGGATGTGACGGAGCCAAGTTCTTGGCTGAGAAGGACCTGGATGCCTTGGGAAGGAGCGTGGAGTTCGTTCGTGGGCACTGGGGAGCTACATAGCTTTACAGAGGGGGCGTAATTGCATTACCCATGCCTTTTCCCTTGCGATGCTTTTCCCGTGGGTCCAACGTTTAGTTTATTTGGAGGAATTTTTTTTTAACTGATGCATTCCCCTTTGTGTGCTTTATAATGAGGTGGATACTGCTAGCCATGCTAAAGTTTCATATGGCTTTGATGTCTCCCTTTTGTTTGCAGTATCAGTCGGGGCCTGTTGGGAAAAACCGGGTGTGTGTGGAGGTGACTGTTGGAAGCTTCGGGTAGCGGTCCGGAGAACTGAGTTTAGATGTCATCACTGTCACCAATTTCTCGAGTGACATGAGGCAAGTCATTTCTCTCACCTCTCAGTTTTCTCAGGTGTAAAAAGGGAACCTAGATGATACCAGGTTCTTCCTTCGAAGATTGCTGGTTTCCAAAGAATGAACATCAGCCTGTAACATACCAAAGTGAGCAATGCAGCAGAGCGATAGCAATTGGGAAAAGAGGGAAGCCCAGTGGGAAAAGCTGGGATGAGCTACATTGTGAGGGTGGATAGGATTTGAATCATCAGGAGCCAGCTATGCTGAACACCGTGGATTAAGATAGAGAAGTCAGGACTAGGCATTCATATGTTAATCTGTTCGGGGAGGTAGGTTGTGAGAGAGAACAGCGGGATTTGAGAAGGATGGTGCCAGATGTTGATGGGACCCCAAGTGGAAGTACAGCCTGTTCTGAAAAGGAAGAAAAAAGGAATGAGAGAAATGTCAACAATATACAGGACTTGATTTCTTGGATTCAGGTGATTGCTATTTTGAACCAGGTTTTCTAAAAAATGAATTTAAATGCTGTTGACAAAAATGAACATTCTGTTAGAATTCCAGACTGCAGTAGTGTACTGGGAGTAAGGTGATTCGACTTGTAGCCATGGTATTGCCAATAACTAGTCCCTTAGGCTCTCATTTAATTCCAGGTCCTGTTCTCTGTAAAGTGATGTTGGCTTAGGTGGTCCTTCTGTAAAACATGAGTCTGTGAGGATGGAGGGAGATAGAGGATGGAGAACAAAATTGGTACTTTTGAACATGTTAAATCTGAGGTGTAGGAAATTAAATTAGAAATATAGGCAGACAGGTTTTACTGTTTATAGCCTGGAACTTAAATAGTAAGTTTTCCCTCAGAGGTTGTAGTTAAAACCTTGAAATTGAATTTGCTCTGAGGGCTAGATTGTAGAGAGAATGAATATAACATGTGCCCAATAGATAGGGAGCTGGTGAAATGACTGAAGGAAATATGCAGGTCTCAGAGCTAAGAGCAAGAACTCCTTTTAAGAAAGGATTGGGGCCAACATGGTTATTAAAATAATTTAACAGAATTTACAGCAAAAAATCACCTACTTCCAAAAATTTGGCTGAAAGCAAATAATTCAAATAGGTATAATCTCTACTGTCTTTCTAATTGTCTACTCAGTAGTAATAGTATTTATTTATTTATTCAACAAATATTTAAGCCCTGGCTGGTGTAGCTCAGTGGATTGAGCGTGGGCTGTGAACCAAAGCATCGCAGGTTCGATTCCCAGTCAGGGCACATGCCTGGGTTGCAGGCCACGGCCCCCAGCAACTGCACATTGATGTTTCTCTCTCTCTCTCTCTCTTTTTCCCTCCCTTCCCTCTCTAAAAATAAATAAAATAAAATCTTTAAAAAAATATTTATGTGTCTGAGGCAGTACTGGGTTATAGGGACATAGAAAGCAAGACAGACGTTATCTCTATCTTTACATGAAGGTCTCAGCATGCAGTGTAGTGATTTTCAAGTGTTAATGTACATATGAATCACCTGAGGATCTTGTTAAACTGTAGATTCTGAATCAACGGGGCTGTAGTAGGGCCTGAAAATTCTGTATTTTTGGCAAGCTCCAACATGATGCTGATGTTTCTGGTCTGAGGACCATACTTTTAAGTAGCACATGTGGCAGTTATTAAGCCACTGTTATTACCTATGAAATGTTTTTACTAATGATTTTATTGTCTGTGGAAATAATATATGCTTATTAAAATATTGGAAGAGTATAGACAAGCATACAGAACGATATAAAAATCAACCCAATTCTGCTGACCTAGAGATATCGTGGTAAACATTCATCCAGATATTACATGTGTACATGTATGCACACTTTTACATGTTCTGCCAAGTATTGATACCCTTCGAGCCCTGTGTTTCAGCCTGTTAGCTTTATAGTTTTACTAAGATCAGTACCCAGTTGGTCTCAGTGAAGCAACGAATTCATGAGGGGAAGACTTGATGTAATTAGAAATAACCTGGTTTAACATCATTCTATTACGCCGATGTGGGCTATAGAAATGAGCATTTGTTAATTGAGCCACAGAATGAGAAAAGAATTTTTAAACATCTAGTAGGCCTTGTATGGCTTAGAACAGCTGAGAATGTTGGGGTTTTTTTTCTTGTTTTAACCCTGCTTATATTGTCAGAAGCATTTTCTCTTTATACTTTCCAATTTGCTACCTCATCTCTCTAAACATGCCTTTGCCTGATGCTACTCTCTTTCTTCTCTGTTTTATTTTGCAGTATTCGGATATTTGAATCTCAGTTCTGTCTGACTTATACCACCCATGCCTCCTTCTCATTTCCCAGTGTTCCACAATAGGTTAGTAGCATTGAGCAGACCAGTTTAGCACACATCATCTTATGAACCTAAGTTGGGTGTCAGGGCTGGTCATTTCTTGTCTGAGGGCTTCTGACGTCAGGAGAGGTGAACCAGAAGGCAGGAGTGTGGAGAAGTGGAATAAAAATGTCAGGCAGTTAGACATTCTTTCAAACTGACCCCTACCCAGATGATTCTCAAAAGAGTAATGGTGGTGGGTAGGATGTCAGGATAAGACAGGTGGCAAAGTCTTTCATGCCGTCACCTTTAAAGAACCAGTGATAATGTGAAAGGGCAAATGGGAGGTGGAAAGAATATGAAATGCTGCCCGTGGCTATAGAAAAGCCTGAGAACTACCTTGTACTTCCCATCCTGTACACTTTCCTTTATGTTTGTGTGTGGGTGTCATCTGCCGCCAGTGAGACGGGAATGAAAGGAGATGAAACAAGTGCTTATTTATAGTTCTGGAAATAGAGAATTAAACATTCGAACAGAAAAAATATTCAAACATGTAACTTTAAAAAAACTTGGCATAGACAAAAGAAATCTTGATTGTACAGACTGATAGGGCACACAGGAAAACTAATATACAGGCATCAACATCATCACGAACTAGTTTTTTAAAAATTGAATTTTGAAGATAAGGAGTGTGTTCTTTGCTCATCCCTTATAGGTAACACAACCTACCTATAAGGGAGTGCTGGGGGGAGGATCAGATATTCTCAATGGAACATTTAGCATTAGAGGAAAGTGGTATGAACCTTATAAGGGGAAAGAAAATGTGACCTCAAAACCAAACTCAACTGACAGCTGTTTTTGAACAATGCTAGAACTCAAGGTAAATAGTACCCATGAGTTCTTTTTGATAAACCGCGAGAAGGTGAGTATCAGCCATCCAGGAAACAAACAGGGATGACACGGCAAAAAGAGGGCCAGGGACATAGTTAAGAATAAGGCCAAAATAAAGGAGATTTGTAGTTAAGAATATAATAGAACTATAACAAGGTAGAAATAACGAGTAAAAACTGAAAGGGAAGGCAGGAGGTAGTATAAATTTGTTGTTTCTTCTTATTTTTAGCTGGAGAACAAAAGACAGAGTTTAGACATTATTTTTAGTATATTTAAAGGAATAAAGATAAACCACTGGAGAACCAAATACAGGGTCTGGCACAAATAATTCCCCCCCCCTTTCATTATAAAATCATATGCATGTAATTTTGTAACATACAATATCACACTCAAGCACACCATATGACATTTTATGTGAAATGTTCAAATTAAAACTATAAATTATAACACCCATATTATTACCCTACCAACCACACTCAAGCAGGTGTTACTTCTGCCAGACCCTGTGTATTTAACCAGAATCAAACAGTAGAGAGGAGGTAAGAAGAAATAGAACTATATTAAACTTCTTAAAGAAATAATCAGATGGGACTAAACATGAAGGAACAAAAATTTTTATCATGGCCTTTGCACTTGGAAAAACTGAAAATATACATGGGGTATTTGTAAAAACTGATCACATCCCAGATCACAAAAAACAAAGAGCTATCATACAGATGTTCCTTGACCAAAAACATTCTCAATTTCTTCTATCTGTGGAAGTGGGTCTTGGTACAGTCAGCAACAGCAGCTGCATTACCTAGGAACTTGTCAGAAATGCAAATTCAGGGGCCCCACATCTGATCTGCTGAGTCAGAAATTCTAGGGCAGAAGCCCCCCAGTCTCTGCTGGTCAGTTTTTATAAATATCCCACTTAGGGTTTTTGTTACTTGCATTTGTAAAGAATGCCATGATAAACATTTTTGTTCTTTTTTTTTGAAATTGATTTATTTAGTTTTAGTGAGAGGGAAAAGGGGGGAAAACAGAGGGAGAGAACCATTGAGATGAGAGAGAAATATCGACCTGGGACTGATCCTGCAACCCAGGCATGTGCCCTGACCGGGAATTGAACCAGTGACCTTTCATTTTTGCAGGACACTGTACAACCAACTGAGCCACACTGGTCAGGGCAATATATTTGTTCTTTGATGTTTGGTCCCATAACTCATTATTTCTTTAGTATAAGAAATTACCAAATCAAAGAATGTTCTATAAACTTCAGATAACTTTTTCTTCTGTTGCTGATTATTAGAAGTGAAAAACTAAAAACGGGTTTTTGTCTCTTTAGAAATATCTTTTTGTTCATGGAAAACAAGATTATCTCCTTATCCAGAAAGATGAAACCAGCTGAGTTACTTTCAAAAGACAACCAAATGAGCACCGCAAACTAATGAGTAGAATCAATAAGAACGTGATTTTGGCGCTTTTAACTTTGACCAGTTCTGCATTTCTGCTATTTCAGTTATACTACTACAAGCACTACTTATCAGCAAAGGTAGCTTTTTTTCTCCTTTCTCATCATTAGGCTTCATTTTAGCTGTATATTTTCCTAACATAGTTCCCTTTTGCAGCACATAAGTTAATCACAGTTTCTCAAATTTTTGCAGAAATATTTCTTATTGCAGTTTTCCTCTCTGTGGGTGTGACAAGCAATTCAAAAGTGTTATGTTATTGTTATGTTATTCAAGCAATGTTATTGTAACAACACATCCGATATCAAAGGTGCTAGATTTCAGTGATGTTTAATCCATTTTTTAAAACCTCAACATTTGAAATTATGATTTATGTTAGGAAAAGTGTGGGCACTGGAACTGTCTGAAACATAAATAATGTCTACTTTGTAGGATTGTTATGTGGGATAGATGAGAATACATAATTCATACATGGAAATGTCAAACACAGTACACTAAGGAGCTGCTCAATAAATATTATTATGTTTTCTTACCACTTGGCCAAAGCGTGCTAACACTAACCCGGCGTGTGGAGATGAGCTGAAGTTAGGAATACGGAGCTGAATGGATAAGGCCTGATTCCAAAGAGATTTGGAAGAGCCAAGAGTTTACTATTTATTAGATGGAAATTAATTAGTTTAGAGGTGTTGGCCATCTATACTTTATTGTTTAATAACCTAATTAACTTACTGCAACCGGTGATTGTTTTCGATCTTGGCTACTTGTATAATTGTAGAATTCTTAGCTCTTGACTATATGAAAATAGGTATTATCTGAATGCTTAGTAATGATTATGAGCCAGTTATGTAGTTTGAATTTCATGCCTACCCTAAATGTTATGTTGCATGCTGGTTATGGGGCTTTGGATTTACTAAAATGTTCTTTGGTTATTTTCCTAGAATGGAGCTGGTTTATCAAAATCCAAAGGAAGCCGAATTGGATTTGATAGCGTACAGTGGGTATGTACAATAAGCAAGCACTTCCTAACTACAGTGTTCATTTTAGTCTATTTGTTTACACACTCCATAAGTAGTTGCTGAATGATGGCAAAGACCTTGGCTGCCTTGCTGAAGAGTGGGGGTAGGTGGTCGGCGGGGAAGGGGCAGGGCCTGTGCCAAGTGTTTCTATGCAGGATTGCATTAGTACTTACGGAAACGCTAACAAGTCAGTGTATTATCATCCTTAGTTAGCTTAGAGATTCAGGTAAGTTTGCTAATAAGTGACTCGATCTAGATTTTCTTTGCCTCCAAACCCTCACTATAGTAGTTCTCCAAATGAATATGTATGTTTCTAAGAATTGAACTATGAAATAATGATGAGGAAAAAAAATCTATTCAACATGATTCCTTTATAAGATAAGGAATACTAGCAGTATTACAATATACCCCTGTTTTGGTTTAGAAATTTCAGAGCCCTGCACATTTAAAAAACAGTTTCTTACAAAACTATGTTTATCTTGTTAGTATACATTTTGGATATGACCAAATATTTCTCAGCCTTTGGCTTGTGTTTAACCAAAGGCTGTAGATTAGAAGTAGGCTTTCAAATCACTAGTAGCAATAAAGTAGTGGTGATAATTTTAGGTCATTGGTGACAATTGGTTGTAAACCACTCCTTTAAGGGTCAAGTCTGGGGTATTCTATTATTAGGCTCCTCAACTGTCAAGTCTGGAAGTATTGTATCAGTGTGAACCTTAAAACATTAAAGCAAGCATTTCAATTATAGTGGGCATTCAATATTACACGAGTTTCACAACATAGTAGTTAGACATCGACATAACTCACCAAGTGATCCCCCTGATAAGTGTAGTGCCCCCCCGACACCATACATAGGTACTTCAGTGTGAACTTTTAATTTATTAAAAATAGCAGCTGTTTTGTTCTGGGAACTTTGGACAGTCTGAGGGGAAAGGAAGTATGGTACACTTGGAGGTCATACCCCAGTCACAACTGTAAAGGCTCTAGTGGATGAAAGAAAAGGGGGCATGTTTTGTGTTCTGTCCAGCCCTACTCTCCCTCCATCCCACCCTGAAGAAAAACACACATATAATATGTGGACCAGGTTTATTGTCCTGTGAGTGAGATAATTTGTTGAGATGTGGAAATCAGTATCTAACGGCCAGGAAGTAGACCCATCTGACGATAATGGGGGTTCTCTATCATAAATTTTAACATTCTAAAATATGAGGATATTTAAGGTGATACAAATTTTCCACGTTTTTGATTTATTGACTCCTCATCTGTAAACTGAAAGAGCATGTTCAGAAAGAGCTTTAAAGCTGTAATAGCTTCAGTGGGACTTTAATTTACTTTGTTTGGATTAATCAACAACATTTCCAAAACCTTTTCTGTATATAAAGCAGTCAGCAGGGGTACAGAGTCACTGTACATTTTAAAATGGAAATTGTATTTCATTTAAAGTGTAACATAACAGAGAAAATTAGGGCAGCCCCATCGTTTTCATTCAAGGAATGATCCTCGAGGTGGAAGAAAAACGGATTTTTTAAAAAGGGTTCACGTCCAAGGTACATGAGCTAAAACTTAAAAGAGCAGCTCACAGCACTGAAACTCACTCTTTATAGTAGCTGTAAAGTTGCAGGGAAGGGAGATCTGAAATACTTTTGTTCTCATATTTTAGAAGGACTGAGAGGTGAAATCTGATCGATAATTATGACACTGAGCCCTGATAAAATTCTAGAGTGAATTATTAAGCAGGTAACTTGAGAGCAGTAGGGAAAAAATAATCATCATCAGGAACTAGCCTTTCACTCAGAAGGCTTTCACCAAGCCCTTTTAGGTTCTGATAAAATTGTGTACACTGGCAGGTGAATAGGCTGTTCTAGTGGTAGTGTATCCTATTTTCAAACAGACATTTTTCTGTCTTGTAAATGAAATGAATTACCAAAGGCCAAATGATAATAGTCATGTTGATTTAGAATTAATTGGATTTAGAGTCAATGGGACATCTGTTTCCAAAGAGCATTGATGATTGCATTGATAACAACCTGGAAGGCATGTTTAGCAGGTGAGTTGTAGAATCTCTCCTTGACCTTGCCCTAATCTGTGTTCATGTTAATAATCATAATGAAGCCATATGTGCGCTCCTCATGTTTGTATTTGACACCAAGCTGAGAGTCTTTCGATAACCACTTAGTAAGCGCCTTACTTGTACTTGAATCTGTCATCTCATCATTTTTCTTCCAAAGCCATTTCTTTCTTTTATCCTCCTCTTACAAGCACAGAAAGCAAGAACCAAAAAGGAACAAAATTGATTAGGCTATTGAAATTTAAAACTTCTCATCAAGAGACAGCATTAAAAAAAATGAATAGATATGCCACACACTAGAAAATATTTTCAAACATATCTCATGAAAATAAACTAGTGTCTATGATAAATAAAGAACTTCTACAACTCATTGATAGATTTTTTTTGTTCATACTTTTTATCAAATTGAGGATGTGTTCTGTTTTTGGTTTACTGAGAGTTCTTTGTTATGAATAGGTATTGAATTTTGTCAAATACTTTTTCTGTATTGAAAGTCTTATAGATTTTCCCCCCTTATGCTGTTGATATAATGAACTTGATTGATTTTCAAATGCTATCCTTTTTTCTGGGATAAATCCTAGTAGGTCATAATATTTACTTTTTTATTTTGGTCTCTAAAAAGAACTGTTAGAATTGATTTCCAGTGCCTCGTTGAGTACTGCTGCATCTGTGTTCACAAAGGATGGGTCTCTAAAATTTTCTTTCACTTTTGAAAGCCATACATCCTTTGAGATCATAATTGCTTTCATTGAAGTAGGCTTTTAAGCAATAATGTGCACCCTTAACTCTATTTATTTTTGCTACTCTTAGGTATTATTTACTCCTCAGTGCAATTTAGTCTGTTTCTGTTCTAATTTTAAAATATGTATATTTTTAGTACTCACCGCCCAACACAATAATGTTTAAAAATATTGCAGTATTATTAGAAAGTCAAACTGATATGGGAATGGTCAAGCAGGCAATGTATTTTAGTTGGGGTCTTTTGTTTAGAAAGATTATTAAGCAGCATTACAAATATGAAGGAAAGTGGCAGATAAAATTGGTTTTTGGTTTTGCATAGGTTGCCGTGACTGATTTTTAAAAGCTGACAGAGGAGGTAGTTCATCTTCCACTTTTGCTTAAAAAAAATTTAGCTAATACCAAGAGAATAATTTGTAAGCTTGAGGTTTCCTTTCTGATACGACTTTCTCTACAGAGGTTTTCTGATCCTTTTGTTGTACAATTAATTAGTAGCTTACTGTTGTTGCATATATTTTACCTTGATGTGTATTTGTTCATCTTCCTCACTAGACTGTGTACTCCATGAGAGTCAGGACTGGGTATTATTATTATTTTAGCATAAGAATAAGAATGGTATCTATTGAGTAAATACTCTATATACTTATGAGATCAATGAATAGAATTTACTAAGATTATTGTACTGGTTTAGTAGAATTAAGGAGATTCTTTTCCTCTCAACAGCGTGCAGTTAAAAAATTTATTACACTAACATCAAGCCAAAATGTACCTGTGTTCCTTATCGACCCTTTGATTCTGGAATTGATTAATAAAAACTTTGAACAAGTCAAAAATACTTCTCATGGTGTCGCTTCAGAATGCAACTTTTTCTGTGTTCCAAGAGACTTTACTACATTTGCACTACAGTATCACCTATGGAAGAATGAGGTAAGATGATTTGCTTTCAGGTAATAGAAAGCCTTTTGCAAATAGTATGAGAGAATACCAGTTTAAAATATAAAATATTTAAAAATTTTCTAAAAGCTTTTTATAAGTTATATCAGGAATATATTCAGCTGTAAGTAAAGACACAATTAGTAATAGCTTAAGCATGTAAAGAACAGCATAGGAAATGTAATCAGTAATATTGTAATAACTGCGTGTGGTATCAGGGGGCAGAGACTTATTAGGGGACCACACTGTAAGTTACAGAAATGTCCAACCACTCTGCTGTACATCTAAAACTAATATAATACGGAATGTCAACTGTAACTGAAAAATAAAAGTAAAAATTTAATAATAGCTTAAGCAAATAGGGAATTTATTTTCCTTGTATAACAAGAAGTTAAAAGATTGGTGGCGTTTGCTATTAATTCAGCTGCCCAGTGATGCCAGGCCTGGCATCACTGGAGTTCTTTTTTCTTTTCTCCAATCTTCACAAGATAGCTGGTATAGCCCCGGGCGTCATGCTCAAGTTCAAGGCAGGAGATGACAGGAGGGGATGATGATCCTATCCTTCTTTTGAAGTAAAATTTTGCTCAGCTACTTACAGCTTACTGTCCAGAACTATGTTCATATGTCTCCTTGTTGTGAAGGAGGCTAAAGAGACAGGAATTTAGCTTTTCCATCAGTGGAGGCAAGCGAGTGGGAAGGGATTTGGTGATGAATTGCCAGGATCTGCCACATAAGGTGTAAGTGAAGGTAGTGTCCCTAATCGATAGTGCCGTTCTTTCCGCCTTGTAAGTGCACAGGACTCACTGGATACTCAAGTGGGGTGCTTCTTAGGTATATCCAGAAATTCAAACTTACATTTTAAGTCACACAGCAGTGGTAAAAAGAAAAAAAGCCTCAATCAAATATGCCAAAACTTTGCTTACTTCTTTATTTGGAATACCTCCAACTTCCCAACTTGACTGTTTTTCACTCTGATGAGTTAGCATCAGATTAAATGAACTGGACCACTGAGGCAGCCACCCCCCACCCCCCACCGCGGTGGCTCACACACTGGCTCTGCAGTGGGTCTGTGTTCGCTGTGTGGCCTCTGAGAGGCGGCTGCCCTCCCTCCAGGTGATGGTGGGCTCCTGGGGAGCGGGGAGCTGCACACTCACTGGATTGCCCCACCTCTCACCTTGGACTGACTTCCGGCTTATAGTTCTTGTTCTTTTTTCTTTCCACTCAACTTTACATTTTGGAAATGTTAAAACTTATAGAAAAGTTAGGGCATGGTATTTTAAATGTAATTTTTATTTTTTAATCAAAATTATACCTGAGCTAAGTTTAGAAGGTCAAATAGTAATGCAAAGCTCCTAATGAAAAAGGTGTATCTGCCTCTTCTCTCCCCACCCCGTATTCCCACTCCTAGCGCCAGCCACTTTCAACTCTGCCGTCTCCTTTTTCTTCTCATTTATAAATGAAATATTGATGCTCCCTATTTTTAATATTTCATGTTTAGATTATGAATTATGAGAATTTAGCTCTTACATCTTTTTTGTTACACACACACACACACTCTCTCTCTTCGGCCATCATCATCTTAAGATGACTTCATCACACTCTTGAGTGAAATCAGTGATCGGTGTTTACCTTATTATGAAAACATCACATGGATGCTGCCTAGTGTACTCTGATTATATTTCTTTTCTTCCTTTGTTGTTTGCTAGTTTTTTAGATATATCTATCAATAATCTATGTATGAACTCTGCAAATAAATATAAAATTCTTGATACTCTTCTATCATATCAGATAATCTCTCAGTTCCTTCTTTTTTTTTTTTTCCCTCCCTTGGTGACATACCTCCAAGAGCTGCTGGTCTTTCTGCCCAAATAAAGACTGATCTGCTCTGCAGATATTGTTCTGTAATGCCCCTTACATTTTAGGAATTCTCTTAGAAAGGGTGAATGGGATGTTGAAAGCTTGTGTATCAAAAATGTCTCTTTCTACTTGCACATTTGATTTCTAATTGGACTTATATAGCATTCAGCTTCTGCTGTGTACCAAATCACCCTGAAATTTAGTGGCCTAAACCACATCCACCTCCGCAGCCCATGACGCTGTTACTGGGGTCAGCTGAGGCTCACCCGTGCGGCTGTCGGTCAGCCAGGCAGCTGTGCTCACTCAGGGCGACCGGCTGTCAGATGTGGCAGCGGAGGTGCCTGGGCCTGTGTCTTTCACCACCCAGGCCAGTCCAAGCTAGCCTGAGAAAGCAGAAGGGTGCAGGGGCTCTTGACATTGTTAAAATAGTAAGATTTCCTACCCATTAACACCAAATATGTGTCCTTTAATTTCAGGTGTCATTTGATGTTCTTTCATAGAAGATTCTAATTTTTCTTACAGATTTTGCACATGTTTTATAAGATTTATTTCCAGCTACCTTATAGTGGGGTTTTTTTGGTGGGGGGGATAATATAGATCTTTTTCTTTTTTTTTTTTACAGTTCGTTTTTATAGGTGGATGAGAATGCTGTTGGCTTTTGTATTTTATCTTTTTCCCAGCAACTTCACTGGTCTCTGACCTCTGTGGGTAAATTTCAATAGTTTCTCCCCCCTCTTCTTTGTCTCCCTTTCTGTGTCTTTTTCTTCCTCTCTCTTTTTCTCTTTCTTTCCTTGAATACAGATTATTATATTTTCTGCACAAAAAACAGTTTAGTCTGTTCCTTTCCAGTTCTTGCACCTAATTTTTTTTCTTGTCTTATTGATTTGGGTAGGGCCCCCAGGATAGTATTGAATAAAAGTGTTCTTTCTTTCTAAACTTTTTATTACTTGGATGTTGGATTTCTAGAATTGATCTTCTCATTATCTTTGCTCTATGATTTTTTATCTCATTTTCTAACTGTTCTCCTTTTAATAACAATTTCATTGATTTTTTCATATTTTTGGTTTGAAATTTTAATATTTTTATTTTCTAAGAGCTCTGTGTACTCTGATTGTTTCTAATAATAACATGGGTACAGTTTTGTCTTTCGCTGCAGATTTTAAAGGGTTTTTTTTGTTTGGGTTTTGTTTTTGGGGGGTTTTTTTTTTTGGCTTTTTTGCTCCCTGCTGAATTTTGTTTTTGCAAATCTTTTATTTTCTGGATGTTTATTTTTTATATTATTTGTTTTTCATGATATGGGTTTTCTACAATATTTGTTGATCTTTTTCTTTCATATTTAAGAATGAGATACCGAAAACCAATTGGGAGCTTTTGGCGAGGGCCAGGCCTTCTTAACTGGCGGCCTGCATGGCCTGCACGACAGGGCAATGAGGGCCTGCCAGCCTTTTCACTGGAGACTCTTCTAAACGTCAGTATTTGCAGGTCATTCCTATTGGCCTGTTTGATTTCCTTGTAAAAAAGTCTGAAAGGTTTATAAACCTTTTTTACGAAGAGTAGTTTATAACGTTCCCTTATTTTCCCAAAATGAAATTCATAGAAATTATAACTTATCTACATACATAATCTCCCAAATCAATATAATGTCTTAACTATAGTATAGAGTGGAAAGGAAGGGAACATGTATTTCAGTGGACAAGTACGCAGGAAGGACCGCACTGGAAAACATACTGAAGTAGCCCAGATGCTCGCACTTATAGGTGGAGTCACAAAATGTGCTAGCTTCAAATGTCACTGAATGACATTGTATTTACGAGGGTGGTTTTCCAAAGAAATGAGTAAGTTTTTAACAACAAAAAAGCAAAATTATTTTTCCTTTAACAGGGCTGTGTTATTCCTGAGAAAGGAGGCTCTGGTAATTATGAACAAGTTTTTCACTGTGTGATTATCTGTTAGAACATTTGGGATTATGCAGGACACGGGATAGACTTTCATATTTCAGGCCGTAGGGTGTCTGGTGTTCTTGGCCTAGGCCTCTGCGTGGCAGGTTTGCCTTCCTTAATCGCTGTGATGACCAAAAATATCCCCACACGTTTTTAAATGTTTCGTAGTTACAGTACCACCTGCCTGGAGAACCAATACTTCAGAAGAAAGGGAATATTAATCTTGTTATGTGAGGTTTCTATTACAACCAGTGATGTTAGAAAATACACTTTGTTTCATAGTATGTCTTGGTCTATTTTCTACTGATTTGCGTTATGATGAGCTTGTAGTATAGTAGCAGTTTAAGGTGTTGGTTATAAATTATAGGATGAAAGCACTACTTTTTTCAAGCACATTTGAAGATAAAGATTATTAGAAGTTACATTGACAATTACAAGTTTAAGTGCTGTCCTTATACATATTAAGATTTATTTTATAGATACTAATCCGAGAACATTGAAATGAGCATTCTCATTCCTGGGGAAGTTTTTGTATCTTCATAGAGTCTTTGAACATGTCTTTCAAGTGACTTTGTTTCTCTCTTTGGTACTTTTCTGTTTCCTCCCACCACCTCCTTCCCTCACCACCCTCATTTTTAAATCTTTAGGCAAAGAACAGAATAGCGCAAAAATATGTATGGCTTAATTCAGTATAAAATCATCTTAGTTTTTCTTCTAGCATCTGGTTTTAAATATTCACACTTGATGTTTCTTTGCTTTTAGGAAGGCTGGTTTCGGATAGCTGAAAATATGGGATTTCAGTGTCTAAAGATCGAGAGCAAAGATCCCCGGCTCGACGGGATAGACTCGCTTTCCGGAACCGAGATCCCCCTGCACTACGTCTGCAAGTTGGCCACTCACGCCATCCACTTGGTGGTCTTCTACGAGAGGAGTGGCAACTACCTCTGGCACGGCCCTCTACGGCTCAAAGGTCACATTGACAAGAAATTTGTTCCTTTTCGAAAGTTACAGTTTGGTCGTTATCCGGGAGCTTTTGACAGGTAAGTTCGGGGTCTAAAGTGGAAATGTGAAACCTGTATTGTCCGGTCAGGAATTCTTACTCTTTATATATATATATAAAGAGTAAGAATATATATATATTATATATATATCTTCATATATATATGATCTAATATGCATTTCACATAACTCAGTTTTGAAAGTAAATATTCAACAGGAAGAAACTCAGGCACAAATGCAATAGGAAATGTTTATAAGAATGTTCATAGCAACATTGTTCTTGATGCCCCCAAACAAAACACAGTGTGTCCATACAATACACTAGTGCTCTGAGTAACAACGTAGATGAATCTGACAATGTTGGGGCAGAAGCAGGCATAAAATAATGCAGATTTTAAGATAGCATTTATAAAGAGTTCAAACACAGGGTAAAGTATGTTCATAGATGTATACTTAGGTAGTAAAAGTGGTCAAAATGTACAAACCTCCAGTTAGGAGAGAAGTAAGTCCCGGGAACATAATGTACATGCAAGCGACTATAGATGTGGATTGTACATTTGGAAGTTGCTGAGAGAATAGATCTTAAAAATTGATACCTGAGATAATCAAAAATATGCTTGATGTTTCGCAGTTTTGCTTATTTTGTGTATTTTGAAGAGGCTGTCAGGGCTACTCGGGATTAAGTCCTTATAATGAATCTTAACTTTTGTTTTCAGGCCAGAATTACAACAAATCACTGTTGATGGACTAGAAATCCTCATTCCAAAAGATCCAACGCACTTTCTAGAAGAAATGCCACACTCTAGGTTTATTGAGTGTAGGTATAAAGAAGCTCGAACGTTCTTTCAGGTCAGAGATCACCACATATTCCAGTTTTTAAATTAGAGGAAATGCGTTTGTAATATTTTGAGGGGGAGGGAGATGAAGGGGATTATGGAAAACAGGTAGAAAACATTTTTTGATTCATCTCTTTTCTTCTGGATTGTTTTCTGTTAATTGTTCAAAAAGTAGACTAAGCATCAGTGGACTATGTAACATCGTTTGATATTCATGGAGACCTTGTTTTACCTGGACAGGCTTTGATCGGTTTGGCATTGGCCTCTGCTCTCGGCCAGGTCAGCCATACACTTCATGGTGTGTTCTGTTCCTGAAGTGCTCCAGCCAGGATGACGCCACCGCAGGAGGTGGACCGTGTAAAAAATTCATAGAAAATAGTTCATGGAAAGTGCAGGTTTTTAGAGGGTTGGCACCGAGTATGAAATTTTTTGTTTATGAAGGTTTTTGAAGATAAATGCTACACAAACACCAGGTGCTTTTGAACTTTACTTTATTCTGCCGCTCTAGCTTTCAATTCAGTAAACATTTATCGAAAGCCTGTTTCCCAGACACTCTGCTGACCCTGGGGATATAAAGATGATTTTGAAGGGCATGGAAGTTCAGCTCTAAGAGATGACATGAAATAGAAATACTGGGAAAACAGTGAAACTTACAGTGGGGTTTTGGTACCCCATTTCTTCCACCCGCCTTTTTCTGTGGGGTTTCCTTCTAAGAAGGCTGTGTACACTGGGACAGGAGCATGTGGGGAAACGTACCAGCCATATCATCACTGCTCAAGTGCCCAGCGCCAACAAATGCGGGACTTGCTGGTAGGCTGTGCTGGCCCCAGGACCTAGGCCTGATGGTCCAAGTGAGCCTCCCTCGGTCCGCAGTCACTTGTATGACTGCGGAGCTGTAAAACTCTCCCAGTCAGCCTCATGGACGCAAAGCTGGAAAACCACGTGTGTGGATGGGCCTGCTCTAGTAGGCGAGCACCGCCCCTCATGTCCCCACCACATGGTAACAAGAAGCAGAAGAGGTGTGGTCCGAGGCTTGAACTTGACCATTCACTCTTTCTGCCTTAAGAGAATTTGTTCTGGCTGCCACCTCTGTCATAGTAATTATCACAGTGAAGTGCCAATGTCTGTCTTGTGCCCCTGCTAGGTTATATGAGCTTCTTGATGGCAGACATCTTGTTTTACTCACCTCTGTAGCCCCAGTGTCTGGCATGGTACCTGGCACAGAGACCCTAGGATCATGGCAGAGTGCACGGAGGATAAGGCGCTCATTTGAATCAAGTGATTTTTAGAGACATTTGTTAGAGCTGCTCATTAGCTGGCAGGCATTTCCCCAGACTCATCTGCTAATCTTTGTGGGAAGGCAGTGTAAATGTAAAATGCTTCAAACTGCTGAGAAATCATGAAGATACTGTCATTTTTTAACTCCATATTTCCATTCTTTTGAGATTGTTAGGGCAAAGAATCAGTGTTTGAGTACAGAGAATGGATGATTGATGCTCAGCGGGCTTTTCAGTTTGTCATAGATGGCCTCGCAGCTGTGGTGTTTGAAGTACCACCGCGAAGCAAGACTGTGGTGCCTGCTAGAGGTTTACATTCGTAACAGGATCGAGGATGGGGGTGGGCTCTGTGTTCATTCCTCAGGGCAGCGTTATCTCTGTCCTTCCCTGCAGCGGGACAGACTTGTGATTCTTCATTTGTTTTTTTTTTCCTCTTGTGCTAATGTATTGGTATTACTAATATGGAGTGCCTAATGGAATTAATAACTTTTAAAAATTCTTATCGTCATAAGTGTTTCATCCTTCAGCATTTCTTATGTTAGAACCATGTTTAAAAATTCCGTGGTTAAAAACCGTGATTAAAACTTTTTCAAATTAAAGGGAAGATACATGAGTGAGCACTGGATGGCGCCAAACTGCCTTAAATGCAACGCCTGGTGTACGGCGAGCAGTGAACTGATCTAAAAGTCTCACAAAGCAGCCTCCAAACTTTTTAAAAATAATAATGTATTTTGAACCATTCTCAAACTTTTATAAAAGTTAAAAATATAATACAAGTGGTTTTTTTCTTTCCTGGACCATTGGGAGTAAGTCGTGGACCATATGCCCTATCACTTTAGTATTTCCTAAAAATGAGAATATTCTTTAGAGGTCTTAATACAGAATTTAGGAAATTAATTTAGGAAATTAACACATAGATTATTACCACTTAATCTCCATCCATGTTTTTCTAATTGTCCCAGACATGACCTTTATGTTGAAAGGATTCAGTTTAGCATCACACGTTGTATTTAATTTCCTCGTCTCCTCAGTCTCCTTCTGTCACAAACAGTGTCATAGTTCTTTTTTGACTTCTCATGACTATCTACTTCTGAGGATTTTAGGCCAGATATTTTGTGGGTGTTCCCTCGTCTGGGGTTTGCCTGGTTTTCCCTCACGCTGGCTTCAGGTCACACAGATTTCCCAGGAATAACACAGGCGCGCTGTCGTGCCCTCGCATCGCACCCGTCGGTGCCGCCCGACCCGGGCATGCCCCACTTCTGCTGGCATTCACGTCGGTCACTCGACTGAGGTGCTGTTTGCTAGCTTCATGCCTGTGAAGTTTCCTTTTTCACCTTGGCAATTAATAGCATTTGCCCTGAAGCTACTTTAAAACTATGTAAAACAGTAAAATATTTACATAAAAATATGTAAATACTGTCAATATCAAACCTTCAGCCTAATTGTATATATCAGTATGAAGTCATTGTTTTCTGATTTTTGAGCACTTTCTTGCTTTTTGGCACAGGTATTCTAGGTTTATCTTGTCCTTTCCCTGTTATAACCCTAGAATTAGCCATTTCTCTGAGTACTGGTATCTTTTAGAAGCCAAGATCTGGATGCCAGTTGTGCTCATTGCTGCTTGGGTTTTGCTGCACACAGGTCCTCACAGGAGTAGAGTGTGTATGTATTTATTTCTATATCCATCTGTCTATCTCCATGAATTCATATTGATATCTCCAGTCTAATTAATTTATATCCATTAAACAACATACAGTTCATTTCCACCTTTGTGGCTCCCTTCACAAACACTGAGAAACCTGATTCCTATTATCCTTAATATATTTACTTACTTGTTGAATCTCCCCTCATTTCTGTTGCCCCCTCTCCTGTGTGGATGCTGTCCTCACCCTGCTCCGGCTCTGACTCCCCACACGGGACAGCCCCTCCGTGTGGACACCCCCATCACTTGCTCAGGCTCTGATACTTATACCAGGCCAGCACTGTGCACCTGCTTGCTCTGCCTCGCCTGATGGCTCTAGTTTTGAATAATTGGTGTGGGGGGGGGGGGAGTAGGGGGAGAATGGGACATGCTCTTCTCATTTACTTTGTTTAGTCTTTATTTATTTCTCAATCTACCAAGACGTTTAGAACTAAGATAACATACATTTTTTCTGAACTTGATTTTGTTAATTATCAAAAAATAATTAATGAGCTCCAGTCTGTTGAATTCCAGTAAAAAAAAAAATAAGCAGGGAATATGGAACTATTCAGACACCCGGCCTAAGAATACATGTTGCTTCAGATATGCTGGTAGCTCTCAGAATGAGCCTTCTTTCCCCCCACTTAACCAGCCTGCTGAATCTGTGAAGTGGAGGAGGGAGGTGACCAAGGTATGGGTCTCAACCTGGTTCTATTCCTTCCCCTTTGAACTTGTCTCCTGGAATCATCTCCTGTAGACTTATTTTACAGGATAAATGTGTGACTAACAGGGACCTCTGAAGCTTCATTTTTATAATAGAAGAATATATGGGACTAATTCTCAAATTTAACTCAGATGTCACAGAAATGTTTCTAGGCATGTAGAAATGGCTGTAATGGCTGACTCTTCATCATACCTGCAGCAGTACCTTGAAGACAGCACCGTGGAAGCTATGGCCTTTCGGAAGAGTGCGAAGGAGTTGCTGCAACTCGCAGCCAAAACGTTAAAGCAATTGGGAGTACGGTTCTGGCTGAGCAGCGGAACTTGCCTAGGTAACATCCTCGTTGCTGGACATTTGTCTTTGTGTCATTTCGTCCTCTTTGGCTTCAGGGACGACTGCTTGAGATGACAAAATGTCAGTGATCGTTTAAGTGTCGTATGTATAGATAGAATAAACGTAGTGCATGGAGCAAGAATTTATTGATTTCTTTAAAGAAACTAATTTCTGAAACATAAAAGTGAGTTAGGAAGGCCATACTTGTGTTTACCAACAATTATAATTCACGTGTATCAAATGTACACCAGAACATGTGGACCACATTGGATTCTGATTAGCATTTTATTATTTCTGTCCCAAATTATTGTTGCTTTTTTGACAGACTATTCAGCTTCTTCACTTACACATGATACAAACTTGCTTGCACCAAACGTTTGTACTGAGAGGAAGATTGAAGGGAGGGCCGCAAGGTCTTCACAGCCCTGCTCCAGGTCCTCGATAGTGCCGCTGGCTGGGCATCACTGCCTTCCCCTGTTCTCTCCCTTCAGCGATGGGGAGGTGCAGTTTCTGGAGTCTGTAGGCAAGTTGCTGTTAGAGTCTGAGAGAGGTTTCTGGATCTCTTCCTACTGTGCATTGGATCACAGTTCTTTGGAATTTCGAGTATTTTAGAATCTTAAATGTTATTTTCATTTCCTCTTGTTTATAGTTGCAGTTGGTTATACTTGGGTTCTTTCTTGATTATTACTGTATTTATATAAAAATTATCCTGCTTGTATAGGATTACCATATAATTTATTTCTAATTCAAGAGACTTTTGAGAGTGAAAAATAGACCCATTAATAATTATGTTGAACAACAGTTATAAAATGGGATATTTGGGTGTCCTGTCAGACTCTGTGGAAAATTGACATGGTTCTTTTTGATGAGGAGCATACAGTTAGCATAAGCCATAGAGAAAGAGAGAGAGAGAGAGAGAATACTGTATTTTGCTATGTATAGTGCATACATTTTTGCCCAAATTTTTGAGGGAAAAACAAGGATGGGCATTTATATAGGTAGCACCTGAAATACTTTGTATCTGTTCTTATGTTTTGTAATTATTCATTACATAAAATTTCTTATACCATAATATTTTCAAAGATAAATGCTAAAGCTCCTTTATAATACAAGAAACAAGTATCTAAGCATAAATAAATAAATAATTGAATTGAAATTAAAGTTTTTTGTTTTTTTTTTCTGAAAGTTTGGGCCAAACACGTGAGTACATATTATTCACAGAAGCACATTGTACATGGCAAAATATGGTGCCTCTCACATACACTTGTGATATATACTTTAAGCTTAACTTTTTGAAGCAAAATGTTTCATTTGTCTTATGACTATGTCATCAGAAATATTTGTCATGGTTTGTTTTAAATTTTTAGCCCCATGTTTTTTGTTTTTTTTTTTTTTCATTTAAGGGCATTTATAAAATGAAGGGGTTGAAGCCCTAGCTGGTGTAGCTCAGTGGATTGAGCATGGGCTGCGAACCAAAGGGTCTCTAGTTCGATTCCCAGTCAGGGTACATGCCTGGGTTGTGGGCCAGGTCCCCAGTAGGGAGTGTGTGAGAGGCAATTACACACTGATGTTTCTCTCCTTCTCTTCCCCTCTTTCTAAAAATGAATAAATAAAATCTTTAAAAATTATAAAATTAAAATAAAATGAGGGTGTTGGGTTAGATGACATTTAAGAGCTTTCCATTCTGTTTTTTATCCTCACCCAAGGATATTTTTTTTTTATCGTTTTTAGATAGAGATGACGAGAAAGAGAGAAACATCAATTGGTTGCCTTCTCATAATACTCCCTGACTGGGGATCGAACCCACAACATGGGTGTGTACCCTGACTGGGAATTGAACCTGAGACTTTTTGGTCTAGGGTATGATGCTCCATCCAACTGAGTCATACTGGTCAGGGCAACAGCCTTCCATTTTTAATAGTTTATGATTCTTTTACAGGTGTGGGTTGTAGATTTTTATCAAACTGTAGGTGAGATATCCACATCCTAGGCTTCTAAAGATTCATGTTAAAATAAAATGAAAGTTTAGAATTCCAAACAGTATTGCTTGATAGCAATACCTATAAAGATAATTGTAGACATTTATTTAGTTTTTAAATAATTTGGATGGAAGTCTTCAAAGGATAAGAGGGGAGACCAGGGAGCCCTTAGTAATATAAAGGTATAAATTTTTTTTTAGATTAGTACTATAGCACCTGATTGAGAAATAGATGCATAGTAAATAACTAGAAATACGTTTTGACAGTGTGCTGAAAATTGAGGGTGATACCACTCTTCTTTTTTGTGTGATCTATCAGACATAAGCTATTCAGAACAGTTAAGTTCTACAAATTATTTCTCAGGAAAGGGATATTGTTTAAGCCAAATAACTAAATTATATATTTTTAGCATATCTTAAAAGCAGGCTTCATCCTTAAAGGTTTCTGATTAAACAATCTCAAAAGTAATTTAATTTTTTCAGTTTCAGTTTATTTTTGACTAGGCTATTTCAGTTGTCCCAATTTTTCCCCCTCTGCCCCCCTCCACCCAGCACCGCCCACTCCCTTAGGCAATCCCCCTCCTTTGTTCATGTCCACTGGTCATGCGTATAAGTTCTTTGACTACTCCATTTCCTGTGGTTGGTCTTAACATCCCCATGCCAATTCTGTAACTACCAATTTGTACATCTCAGTCCCTTCACCTTTTCCCCATTGCCCCACACCTGCCTCTCCTCCCCACTGGGCATCGTCCCAGTGATCTCCATATCTATGATTCTTCTGCTTGTTTTCTGTTCTTGTTTTCTTACTTTGTTTTTTAGAATCAATTGTTGATAGTTATGTATTTACTGCCATATTAACGTTCATAGCTTTGATCTTCTTTTTCTTAAATAAGTCCCTTTAACATTTCATATAATAATGATTTGGTGATGATGAACTCCTTTAGCTTTACATTATCTTGGAAGCATTTTATTTGCCCTTTGATTCTACATGATAGCTTTGCTGGATAGAGTAATCTAACGTTGTAGGTCCTTGCTCTTCATCACTTTGAATACTTCTTGCCAATCCCTTCTAGCCTGCAAAGTGTCATTTGAGAAGTCAGCTCACAGTCTTGTGGGGACTGCTTTGTAGGTGGCTCGGCTTTTCTCTTGCTGGTTTTAAGATACTCTCTTTAACCTTTAATCTTTAACCTTTGACATTTGAATTATGATGTGTCTTGGTGTGGTCCTCTCTGCAGCCATCTCATTTGGGACTCTCTGTGCTTCCTGGACTTGTATGTGTATCTTCTTTCATCAAATTAGGAAAGCTTTCTTCTATTATTTTTTTCACATAGGTTTTCAATTTCTTGCTGTTTCTCTCTTCTCCTTCTGGCACCCATCTGATGCAATAGTTGGAACACTTGATGTTGTTCCAGAGGCTCCTTACACTATGCTCCATTTGGGGGATTCTTTTTTCTTCTTGCTGTACTGATTGGGTATCTTTTTCCCCTTTATGTTCCAAATCATTGATTTGATTCTCATCTTCATCTGCCCCACTGTTGATTCCCTGTAAATTGTTCTTTATTTCAATTAGTGTCTCCTTCATTCCTGATTGAATCATTTTTATGCTTTTGAAGTATTGACTGAGTTCCTTGGGTATCCTTATAACCAATGTTTTGAACTCTGCATCTGATAGATTGCTTATCTCCATTTTGTTTAAAACTTCAGTTCTTTTCCTGGAGTTTTGTTCTGTTCTTTTATTTGGGCCATACTTCTTTCTCTCCTCATTCTGGCAGCCTCCCTGTGTTTGTTTCCATGTGTTAAGTAGAGCTGCTTTGACTCCATGTCTTAGTAGCATGGCCTAATATAGTAGGTGTGTGTAGGGTCCAGTGGTACAGCCACCCCTATCCCCCAAGCTGGGTGCTTGAGGTATGCCCTCCTTGTGGGCTGAGGATACCCTCCTCTTGCAGATGAGCCTTGATTGCTGTCAGTAGGTTGATGGGAGGGATTTACCCAGCTAAGACAGCTGGAAGGACTAGCTATGACCCCTGGCCCACAACCACCATCCTGCCTGGCTTGTGGAGATGGTTGGGTGGTGGTATCTGATGTGGTCTGTAACAGTCTGCTGGATATGCAGACATTAGGGTTTCCCAGGTGGTGCAGGCCAAGGTCAGCCTCCACCTGTGTTCTTTCGGGGGTCCCTTGGCGTAAGCTATAAAGCAATCTGCAGATGGCTGCTGCTAGTGCCAGGTCTGGGTCCACTGGGTAAGAGGTAACAGGGGCTGGGCTCAGCTGTTCCTTCTTTGAGCAGATTTAGGAAGGTCTGAAGCCTGTGCCTGGCCCAGCCCTTCATGTGGAAAAGTTACCAGTTTGGGTGGACCCGTAAGTTGGATGGGGCAGGCCTTAGGTAATCATCATGGCAGGGCTTAGCATGTGATCCAGGTTGATGGAGACTCAGATATGGCGCCATGAATTGTGGCTTTGTGTGGAGGAGGGCTCAAAAAAGGTACAAGGGCCGCTGTCTGCAGTTCTGTCTGGGAGCTGTCCCCCAGCTCTCGCCCTGATACCCGACACTTCAGTTCCTCCCCATATGCCACCGGTGCCCTTAAAGGTGCTGCCCTGGTGCTGGAGGCCAAAGGCAGTGAGTCTGAGTACATCCCTGTGCAGGGCCCTCCCGGAAGAGACACCTCTGGCTGTCAAAACCAACTCCCGCTGGTTTTGACAGCCAGAAGTTATGGGGATTATCTTCTAGGTCCTGGAACCCAGGACTCCGTGGTCTGGTGTGGAGCTGGGACCCCTCGCTCCTGAGATATCCCTTTGTTTTATATCCACCACAAGTGGGTTTGGGACCAGCCTATTCCTTGTATCCACATCTCTTCCCCTTCATCCCTCCTATCTGTTTGGATGAGTGTGGTTTTTTTAATTCCTTAGTTGTCGGACTTCCATACAGCTCAATTTTTTTACCGTTCTGAGTGATATTTGTTCTGTAGTGTAGCTGTAATTTTGCTGTGGTTGTGCAAGGAGATGAGCCGTGTTCACCTATTTACCTATGCCTCCATCTTAACCAAAAGTCTGATTTTCTTAAATGGATGGCTCACCTAACATTATTAAAGCTAATACTTTATTCAGAAATTAAAACACATTATGAAAATTTTTGAGGTTGCTTAGTGCTCAGTCCAGTAAAGGGAGGGAGGGAGGGAGGGAGGAAGGATTGGTTTTTTAACAGATGGGTCCTATAACTACAGACATAATTTGGGATTTAATTTTTAAAATACAATTTTAGTAAAGCACTCTAACTCTAATCCTATGAAATAAAATCCACTGTTAACAAAGATCATTCATTATAACAATGACTAATTTTTTTCCAAACTTAAGTTTTTTAAGAAGTTTTCTTATGTTTTTTCTTATTTTTTTTAGGATGGTATCGACAGTGCAGTATCATTTCTTATAGTAAAGATGTTGACATAGGAATTTTTATACAAGATTACAAATCTAATATTATTTCAGCATTTCAGGATGCAGGACTTCCACTCAAACACAAATTTGGGAAGGTTAGTAATAATAATCTATTTTACTTCATAAGTAACATGTCTCAAAATTAAAGTTTGTATTAAACAACCCAGAAATGATTAAGAACATTGCATGCATCATTGTATCACTTGGTATCCACCTGGATAAATTAGGCAGAAGCTTGCTAGCACTTGTGACTTCTGCACTATTTTAAAAAATATACAAAATCTGGCTGTCTATTAACAGTGATAGAGAGAAAGACCTTGGGCTCTTGCAGATGAATTTATTCCCATTACATTAGGCAACAACATAATATAAAATTAATATAATAATGTACATTAATATAATAAGTAAGAATCCCACCTACCCTACCTAAAGTTATATTGTTTCTCATGATTCATTTAGTTTTATGTTCACTTGGGCAACGTAGCATTATCAACACAAAACATTTCATTGATTGCTAAGGGTTAGAAATACAGGCTTATTTCAAAGAGTACTTGAATTTCTTGTTTATTTCATCTGTCCTAGGTCATGGCAGTTTTTTCTGAGGTCAGCTAGGACTACGTCATCGTGTCTTAGATGAAATCTCCTTTTACACAATTTGATTCTGATGCCCTAAGCCTCTGATCCCTTGGCAATCGCCTTACTATTCATTTTCTTGTTCTCAGAGTGGTTTTGTCCTGGAAATCAAGTAGAAGTATGGTTAGTCACTGGAAAATTATTTTCCTCATTATAAATGTTCCAGTTATTTTTTAAAAATTAATAAAATACTTTCCTGAGGTCAGAGTCAAAGCACTAGAACTCTAGTCATTCAGCAAACATCACCAGCACTGTGCTTTGCACCCGGGACATAAAGGTGAATAAGTTATAGTCCTTACCTTTGAGGAGTTCTGTATCTAGTTGGAAGGAAAAAACTGCATGGATAAGTATGTGACTGATTCTGTAACAGGCAGATGCACCACATCCAATGGGAGCATAAGTATTTGCAGGATGAGTTTCTTTAGGAAGATACTCTCAGAATTCCCTGTTCCTTTAACTTTATTTTTTCATGTACATACTGTACTGATCTACAGTCCATATATGGGTTTCTGTAATACAACATTTACCTAACTACTTATATGTTGACTATAATGAGAAACTTCTTTCCTGACATTGTACTTGAATATTAAAGGGAGTAATTTGTCTTTGGTTCTTTTCTTTCTTTCGTCAGAATGGGGCTCAGGAACAGGATGTTCTGCAGAGTGATAATTTAACCACTGTTAAGTCATTATCCTGAGCTGTCATCAATTCTAAGAAGCAGGATTATTTTATATGCATTTAAGAAAGAAATCAAATGATGGCATGCTACTGATGCATCCAATTTCAGAGGTGCTCCTACTTGAAAACATGTATCTTAAAATCAATACTCTATATAAAACATTACCTTTCTTTAAAAAATGTGTATTTTTATCCTGGCTGGTGTGGCTCAGTGCATTGAGTGCTGGCCTGCAAACCAAAGGGTCACTGGTTCGATTCCCAGTCAGGGCATGTGCCTGGGTTGCAAGCCATGTCCCCAATAGGGGGTGCATGAGAGGCAACCACACAATGATGTTTCTCTCCCTCTCTCCTTTCCTTCCCTACTCTCTAAAAATAAACAAGTAAGTAAGATCTTGTTAAAAAATTTTTTAAAATTAAAAATGTATATTTCCTTTGTTTCAGTCTGTGAAGGTGTTCTTCTTCCCTCTAGGTAGAAGACAGCTTGGAACTGTCTTTCCAGGGAAAAGATGATGTGAAACTTGACATTTTTTTCTTCTATGAAGAGACTGACCATATGTGGAATGGAGGCACTCAGGCCAAGACAGGAAAAAAATTTAAGTATGAATCAGATAAGTACTTATAAAAGTGGCAATAGAAATAACTTTGGAGGTTAGAGAAAATGAAAGACTCTGGCAAGGCTCCATTATCAGCCAATACTTTCTCAGCTTACCCTTAGAGCCCAGGTATGTTTGTGAGGTGAGAACTACCCATCAGCAGAGCCTACCAGGAGCAAGTTTCCCTGGTTTGTCAATCCAAAGCGTCATTAAGATTAGAAGCCCCTGAGTCATCAGAAAGATGAAACCAAAACAAGGAACAGGAGGCCACACCCAGAGCCTGAGTCAAAACACTGATTGGCTGTTAGAGCTGTAGGAGCTTGATAATTGGGTAGGAATGGGCTAAAGGTCAGTAAGGAGACAGTCATGGTGAAGTGAAGTTTAAGTGATGAAATTGGGATCGAATGGGGCTGAGGCCACGATTGCTGGGCAGTCTCTGATCTGTGCCTTTAACATAGACTGTGGGTGAATCCTTAAAGGACACCATTGGGTTTAACAGCTACCATATTTAGTCAAATGTAAGATGATATCCACTGTAAGATGCACCATTATTTTATGTACTACTAAGGAAGGAAAAACTGCCGATTATAATTGTAAGACACATTATTCACAGATGGAAAAATTGGTGGTGGTGTCTCAGAACTGAAGGAATGCAATATGTTAGATTGGCATTTTAAACATTTTTTTAATGCTGCCATAGTAAGTCTCCTGGGTGAGAAAAGACAAAAAGTAGCAGCGGTAGCGTAACTGTGCTGTCCTTTATGATGCAGTTAGCCCGTTCTCAGTTCTGAGAAAGAGTGAATGGGAATGAGAACCTGAAGAGCAAGGGCTCAGGAGTCGGGCTGACCTTGGAAACCGCAGCTGCACCTAACTCAGGTGTGACCTTAAGCTTTGCTAGACATTAATCTCCTCAGCTGTTAAAGGTGGGTAGTACTACTCTGTGTCAGGCACCTTATGAACATTTTACATGTACTAACACATCTAATCCTCACGACAACCTGAAGAGGTAGACATTCTGTTAGGCACTGAGAATGTATGTAGTTTGTTCAAGATCACATAGCAGATAAGTGAAGGAGTCACACAGCAGCCTGTCTCTAGAATTCATCATTTTAACTTCTGCTTCCCGCCACCTCTCTACTACACTTGACAATCTGAGGCACTTAGCATAGTGCTTAGTACTTGTTAAGTAGATGGTGGTTATCATTGTTGTTATTTTATACTATTACTATGATTACTAATGTGGTTAATATCATCGCTGTCATTATTAGGGTAGATAGGTGACCAGGGACATAAATGTACCTGATCAAGTAGCTGAGATTGGGGCTTCGATCATTGAGTCCATTGAGCCATTGGCCGCAGCAGGGAATGTTCTGTAACACAGACGAGGAAATCCTCATTGAGCCTGGTTTCTCCTGTGTCCATTGACATACCCTACTGGAACCGCCGAATCTTTATTTGAAGGCAAGGAGCCTTCATGTCAAGTTAAACTTGTTCTGGAGGTTTGAGAGGAATCCGAACCTTTTCCCCAAAGTTATAAAGTATCCCCAAGTTGATATTAACCCCAGAGCTTATTCCTAAAATGTTTTCTTTAATATAAAAAAGTATTTTGCTGTTTGACAACACACTTCCAAGCTGGGTAAGTTCTGACTATAAGTTAATGAATATGTAATTGACACGCTCATTGTGACTAGGTACATGGGGGGTGGTAAGTCCCATGGTTTGTTTATTCAGGTATGGTAAAGATGCCAAATTTCATGTATAATGTAGAGTCATTTTTAAAAAGCTGTAAGACCCCTGGCCAGTGTGGCTCAGTTGGTTGGAGCATAGTCCCATAAACCAAAGGTTGCAGATTCAATCCCCAGTTGGGGCCTATACAGGAAGCAAACGATCAGTTTGTCTCACATCAATGTTTCTCTCACTTTCTTTCTCTCTTTCTCTCTCCCTCCCTCTCTCTCTGTCTAAAAATCAATAAATCAGCTTTGGCCTAGTGGCCCGATTGGTTGGAGCGTCATCCTGTACACCAAAGGGTTGCAGGTTTGATTCCCAGTCAGGGCACATACCTAGGTTGCGGGTTTGATCCCTGCTTGAGGCTGTATGGGAGGCAGCCAGTCAGGGTTTCTCTCTCTCTCTCTCTCTCTCTCTCTCTCTCTCTCTCTCTCTCTGTCTCTTCCTTCCTCTCTCTCTAAAATTAATAAACATTTAAAAAAATTTTCAGTCTCTTGTTAAAAAAAAAAGCTGTAAGAAAGTATAGCATAGAAATTAAAGACATGGGGCCAGTCTGCTTGATTTTGAGTCCCAGCTCCATGTTTTACAAGCTGTATTACCTTAGGTTAAGTTATTTAACTTCTCTGCGGTAAGGTTCCTCAAGTGTGAAATGGGAATAATAATAGAAATTGCCATCGAGCAGATTTAAAGATTGAGTTAATATACGAAAAGGGTTTTGAATAGAATTAAGCATGTACTGAGTTCTAAGTAATTATTAACTGCTTTTATTAATACTAGTAAAGGTAGTGGTAAAGAAAACTATTCCTGCCCTGGCTGGCGTAGCTCAGTAGATTGAGCACGGGCTGCAAACCAAAGTGTCGCAGGTTCGATTCCCAGTCAGGATACATGCCTGGGTTGCAGGCCATGACCCCCAGCAACCACACATTGATGTCTCTGTCTCTCTCTCTCTCTGTCTCTCTCTCTCCCTCCCTTCCCTCTCTGAAAATAAATAAATAAAAAAATCTTAAAAAAAAAGAAAAGAAAACTATTCCTCTTCTTAGTCTTAGGAGAAATTTGGAGATTAGGAACCTATATAAGTATCTCAATATTAAACTGTCAAATCTATTCTTAGAGACCTCATGAGAATGTCACCTTTTTCTAAGAAAGCTGATTCTTAGAGCCAGCATCCTAATCCTGTTATTCTTAAATTTTCTTTGAAGGCTTGGATTTCTTCCCACTGACATCTGAAACCCACAAACCTCAAAAGAACTGTTCGTTTCTAACCACTACATTTCTGAATAAAAAGAGCTTCTTTCATTCTGCTTTAACTGCTCTTTATGGTGGCAGTGTTTGGGAAGTGGGAAGTGTTCTGATTATTTAACGAGAGAAATGAGCAGTGATAGAACTGTCTGGACAGATGGTGTGAGTCCCAGATTTTCTATCATGTTACCGTGACCTTAAAAGGCAGAGAAAAGAACGGAATGGCTGCGTAGAGTAGTTTCTTTGGAAGAGTCCCCCAGCCATATGCCATTTTCATTCTTTTCGGCACTATTTGCTTTAAAGAACCGTAGTATTTTCTAGAGGGGGACAAAAGCCTTTAGAACTAGTCTGAGGGTCTTTTTCATCTTTATAATATTTTACTTTTTATTCCTGCATGGTAAATTCTGAGAAAAGCTTAACAATATCATAGAATGCTTACCATTTTTTAAAAAGTTGGAGAGGAGCTCAGAGAGGAATAAAAAAGTTCCTCCTTTCAAAACTTTACTGCTGTCCTGGCTTGTGTGGCTCGTTTGACTGGAGCATTGTCCCATAATTCAGGGGTGGTGGGTTCGATCCGGGTCTGGGCACACACAGGAGACAACCAACCCATGCTTCTCTCTTGCACTGATAATTCTTTCCCTCCCTTTCTCTCTCCCTTCTTCTCTCTCTAAAAAGCAATGAAAGAGTGTCCCCCAGGTGAGGATGAAAAAAAGAAATTTTACTCTTTGCCCTCAGACTATGTTTTTGGTCCTAAGATATAAAAATAATAATAATATTAATAACATCAATAAAGATATAGATACCACGGTATCAGCTAGATATTCGGTACTGTGATAGGTACTTTATAATCACAGATCATCTTCACATTACCCCTGTGGGTTATGTGTTCTCACTCCCAGTTAAATATGAGGAAACTGGAGCTGGAAGAAGTAAAGTAACTCACTCAGGGTCATCTTGCCATAATGGCATGGCCAAGGTTTAACTCCAGACCTGTCGGACTCTTAGATAAAACTACTTTCCTCTAAGAGTTCATAGATTAACTCTAAATGCATGATATGCATTTAGAGCAATACATGGCTAATAAGTACTACACAGAGTTAGCTGCTGCTACTACTATCCTTACTATTTATTATTACTATTATAACCACTATTACTACTACTGTGTTGCTCCAACACAGTGATAATTTGGGTTAGTTATTCTCTGGGCAAGCATTTTCTTTCCAGGTCTAATGTTTATTCCATCCTTAGCTTTTAGTCCATCACTCCTTTACCTGAATTCATTCTTTTACCCGAAATCTAAATTCTGCTCTTCAATATTGTGTAGATTTTTTTGTATGTATTTTTGCTCTCCAGAGTCCCAATCACCAGGAATAAAAGCAATGAAGTAATAATTATGCCTCTTGAGATATGAAGTTTTTATTCCACAACTTCACAGTTCCTACAAATACTGCCCACATTTCTTTGAGTTATTTCTTTCCTTCCCGTCTGAATCAACTGACATAAGCAGAGGCCAGAAGCTGGAGGAGCAATACTCACAGTGGTAATAAAAATGAAGTCTTGCTGAGTATTCGCTGTATGCTAAGCACTATGCCGAGCTTTTTGCGCATCATCTCGCTTCACCCTCGCAGCAAGTTTACACGGGAGATTTTGCCCCTGTCACCTCTATTCTGTGGACGAGGAAAGTGCAGTAGAGCTAAGACTCAGACTGAGGACCCGTCACTGCAGAGCTCACGTTCTTATCAGTGTGCAGTGGTAGTGTCACCGTGATCTGCGTCACACTGTTAGTGAGGGGGTCCTCGAAGACATTCATTTCCTTCCACGTCATGTCAGTGTGACGCTGATGAGATGCCGTAGCAACAGAACTCTTGTGTATGTCAGTTAGCCTACGGTAAAACTGTTTTCACATTTTACGTCATTTCGCTTGGAGTTGCAGAGCCTATCCGTGACTTTAAGTGAGGACTTACCGTGCTCCCTCCCTGACAATGGCATGTCTGTTTGTTGGCATTGTCAGGGCAATACAGCCACCTCAGTGTCCTTTAG